TGGATTTTAACTAAATTTATCACAACTCATTGTATGTTTATCAGTGATTAAACAGTTTGTATTGACATAGGGGTATGGCTCACGAAACAAGAAGTCATTGCAGGATAACCTGTAACACAACAATTAAGACAGGTTAATTGCAAGGAATAGATCAAATTGACTTTTAAAAAAAAGATATGTGTGGACGGGAGATGCAGTAGGTAGAAGTGGTCGGGAGCTCCGCTTTGCCAACTTTGTCCCACTATCACTGTTAATGGTTGATCATTGGGATTTGACCCGAAACGCATAAAATACATGTGCATTTTACAACTTAAGCCAGAAAGGGAAGAACAACTGTAAATGACATTAAATTCTTATCCTAATTAAAATCCTAAATAAACAAATGCCAAATACAGCCTTGTTGTAAATTGTTACGAAACTATTTCATTTGAATTAACTGTAATACCAATGAATATATAAAGTATTTATTTAAATAAATGTTTACACTCGCGTTCATCTATGTCCACAAACGCACACCAAACATTGCAAGTTTAATGTTGTAATTAAAAAGCGAGATCATGTGTTCTAAAACGTGTTATACGTGCCCGACCCATTCAAGAGACTTCATTATACACACTACTCGCCAAATGAAGCTATATTTTTGTATCTAGATATGGTAATACTGTTTTGGAAAAATAGTGCCTCTAAGAAAGTTTAAGATTGCATAACTATTGATTTAAATAGTTAGCATGTACATGTATGTATAAAAGTAATAAAATCGGAAAAATAAAGGAATCTATTGTGCAATGTCATCTTAAACATACATGGTACCAAAAAGACCCACAGTCTCCTCGAACAACATAACGCTATACTTGGATAACATTTAAAACAAACTGAGAGAAATAGAATCCTTTTAATCTTTGAAATTGTGACGGATGGTTTTAACAAACAAGAGAGAGTTACGAAGACTCGCATCTCTTTATTACAATTTTAGATAGAAAGAAATGAAATGAAATGAAATGGAGTTTAACGTCCTACTGTTCTGCTTTAGATAGAAAGGTTTTTCCTAAAAATAGTTATATAATATAAGTACAGTATGTAAGGTATGTGTGTAGGTGTAATTATTGTAATATTATATTATAATAAGAAGACTGTATAGAAATATACTCTTCAGAAAAAGTAGGGGATATTGAAACACAAATACCTATGCAGGTTGTGATATGATAAATAGTCATGGACACTTGAAATGCTTTGAGAGTATGTTCACAGATGAAGAACTTATCGCCCCAACAGAATCACTGAGCTGCATATGCGACACGCAATAGCGCCATACACGTGGGAGGGGTTCATTGTCAAATTTGACACTTCAAGAAAGGGTTGACGAAAACTGCCGCTTGCTGGTTTATCCTACCCATGTTTGCTTTCCTATCGGTTCTTGAATACGATTTACTGTATAGCGTATCTTTGCTTTAGTGTGTTACGTTTAATTTGATCGGAAGACGTGTTCGTCGACGTTAACGTCCACCGACAACACTGCAAGAATTGGCCGTGGCACTGCAAGAGGAGTGGGTCAGATTGCCCCAAATCGTGATTGGACGGTTGATTAGGAGCATGCCACGACGAATTGGTGAATGTCTGAGGATTGGTGGAGCAATTACTCATTATTAAGAAAAAATAAAAAACGTCCACTTACACTTTTGACAGTGATGGGGCCGTCAGATAAGTCGTCCATATGAACTGTTTATGTTCATGTGTAGGCAATTGGCCTGTTATTAACATACATTGGTTACTTCTAATAAAAACAGCAGTGCATTTCCGCAGTTTTGTATTGTTTCTGAATATTCCCTACTTTTTTTTGAAGAGTATATAACAATACTTATATAAACGCTTATAGATGAATGTTATGTATTCTGGCGATTAAAATAACTGACTATATCACTTGTTTAGTATTCAAGGTCATTATAAAAATAAAACGGCCACGTAGGTTCCTATGCACGGCTCTTTTGAATATTAAATATTCAAGGAAGCATTTTTCGTATCAGCAAGCCACGTCATATCGAAATTATTTTTAATAACTGTCGGAGACCTATAGAGCTCTAATAGCGCTTATAGGTCGTAGTTTAGTATTACGATTGGAAGAACATTGTAAATGATGTTGAATATTTTAATTATGAAATATCAATATTTTCATACATCCATAGAGCTTTAGATTTGAATTCAAAAGCGCGACCATGAATATTCCCGTAGGTTAACCTATTTATCCTGGTTTCCCTTTATCTCAAGTCATTTTTGGTGATCTTTTACGTATTTTATATTTTAAAATCTCTTAAATTCATGTTTACTGCGTTCGCACTGTTTAATGTTTTAAACATTCTGTGTGTATGCATGGTGTTTAGGTTTATAGCGTATTCACGATGTTTCGCTTTATATCGTTTTCGTGATGTTTAGTATTTCTAAATTATGAAATCAGTCTTGCAAGGACTTTAAAGCATTGTGTCACCCAAGCATTTATTTTATTTGGGTCGAGTAGTTTTATTTTCAGTAAAAACACATTCGAACAGGAAATCCCGTTTTGCGCAAATTAGTGATAAAGGTCACCAAGAGAAAAAAAAAATCTTATCGACGTCATGTATTTACTTCTTGATTTTCAATTTTTTTTTCAAATTCGACCGTACACATTAATAGGCATGGTGCGATTTTAAAAAGCGCATAGTTCATTTACGACAAAATCAGGACTGCTGGACTCTAGAATTGACTGGATGAGATCGCGGCATTCATCCACAGTCGAACCCCATTCTGTGTCGTGTTCTCTCTGACGTACAGGAAATACACTGTATCACTGAGATGCAACAAATGGTCTTATAATAATAAAAGGAACTGTAATACTACTTTGAACGGTAATAATAAAGCTACAGATGTACTAATATATTTCTTCAAGGGTCCTGGTTTTGACGCATACGTTAGATCTTAAAATTCTGTACTACTAAGGCGAAATTACAGTTGCTAAAGGAACACATTTCTTCAAGGGTCCTAAGTTTGATGCGTACTTTAGATATTAAAATTCTGTCTGTACTACTAAGGTGGATTGGAAATTATAGATGTGTAAGGGTCTTGGTTTTGACGTATACCTAAGATCTTAAACGTCTGTGGTCTTGTGTGGATTGTTGTCGTCAGAAGCAATATCAAGAAGATAAATGATTTCGGTCCCCAACAAGACAAGTCTTTGAAAGATAAAGTGTTACACTACAAATCTTTTTACAAAGCTCTCTGTCCTTTTAGATTAATGAATATGTGTTTATTCACGTGCCTTTTCATCATCATTATCATCATCACACCCACCATCTTGAACATGTCTGATAGACGCTAACACTAAATAGCACAACATGTGTTGTAAGTCGTCCGTTACTTATGTTCACATCATTTTGAAAGCGATGGGCACTGTATCATCCTGTCATAGGGTATTAAAGCGCCGTAAAGTTACCTTTTATTGCGCAGAAAATTGTCTAATATATTAGCCCAGTTTGAATTAGAATATTGTAGTACAGTGTATATATAACTTATTTTCGTTAAGTGTATGACTACATTTTTTTGTCTAGCTTTCATTTTCTAGTCTGTTCTCTAACAAAATTTATGACTCTAATTTTAGATTGTAATTTTCATGTTATGATTCTTGTCGACAGTTTTAAATTGTTTATTAGATTTATTTTATCTTCGTATTTACAATTATAAACTACAACACGTGTTTTTTTTTCTCTTTTATGTTGCACGCCCTACATAATGAGACGTGATAATGAATCAAGTCAATACTGAATTGATAAATATTTTAATCCGCCCTTCCTTGACATCATCGTGTGCCTTTTACAGCTACAAAGCAGTCATTGCTTTATTGTTGTATTTTTAAACCACAATTTACTAACATCATAGTGTGACATGAGCTAAAAAGCAGCCATTTAAGCTGCAGCATGCATATTGTAAATGGAGGACATTATATTAAAATCGCGATATATTATAATTCCGAATACATTATTATTTTTTCGCATTCAGATCGACTTGTACGCGACTTCATGCGCCATGATCAGATAAATAAAACTGCATGAAATACAGAAGTACATGAAGATTTGTTTCCTATATTAAAGCGATAATTTCATATTTTCTAAGAAAGTCAAAACATAATTATTTCTATGTCTTTTGCTCAATAGGTTATCAACTCACTATTATACGATCATGGGCATTATTTCCCACCCTTAAAAATCATTGACACAGGAAATAATAACACAATTACCTCCCTTTTTTACCGTTTCCCTCCATCAAATAGCTATGTTCAAACGTTTGAATTTGAAGCTAAAAATGATATTTTTGCCAATTTCTCAGCTGGCAATAGTGAATTATAGGATTAAAAGGATTAATCTTTAACAAGGTAGGACTGTTTATGGATACCATCTATTTTAAGGCTTTATTTTATTAAATTTTAAAAATATAACTTAAAAATATGAAATTGTAACTTTAAGTTTCCGTTTAAACGAAAAACTTTATCCAGAACATCATGTCTTATGCAAGACGATATGTGCTCATTTCTTAACACTAGTATTGGCTTGGACAATTTGTTAGTTAGCTTTGTGATCACCACACATCAATAAAAGTGATAATAGGTGTTTTAGAATGTATAGCATACCATTTAGCAGTGATTTCCCATGAGACAGTCCCTTGTGCCGGTTATAAAATAAGTGAATATACAGATATATGTTCATTTTCTTATTCGTGTTATTTTCAAGGGGACAATACCCTTAATGGTGACAATATAACATACGTATAATTAGGCGTTCTGTATTATATTATACAAAATCCTATAAGAATATCAATGTAATAAGTATTATATGAGCTCGTATTATTACTGGGTCACGTGTTATTATTATTTCTGACTTAGTGGACATTCAGTCACAATCCTCTTGAGTAAGACCTACTTCTGATATAAATGGCGCTTCAAGTATGCGATATATGGTAATGGTTTTAAGGATTTTTTCTTGTTTTTATTTCTTCATTGGATAGATTGACACGAATATAGGTGTAAAGCGTAATAGGTTGTTTTCTGTATTGATTTTCAATTCTTTTGGAACTATTCTCAGGAATCTATCCACAGGTATGTAGAGAATTTCATGTTCAGACATAGTACATGTACCTGCTTTCTGAGAAAATAAATTCTGTACATGATTGTCACTATATCTCTTAAAGGGAATGGAGTGGTAAAAATAATGATAATTTAATTTAAGAATTGGTCCAGATGACCCAAGAAGATGTAATAAGCAAATGAAGCGTGTTATCTTACACAAAGCATGCTATTATATCATTTTATAGCAGTTTTATAAGCATTGCCGGAAACATTGTGCAGAGAAAGTAAGCTCTTCCACTGCGAATCAATGATAATGGATGCCAATTCTCTAATTAAAGATACATTATGTAAGATTTAGATAAAGAACTAGCCATTCTTGCTATAATAGTTCGAAAGTATATGATGTAAAATGAATAATTTGAAAATTTCATTCAAATTACTCTATTGCAAGCGAAGATATTAGCCTTTGAAGGTTTGACAGACGTGTGCAATAATTTGGTTAAATCAAAGTATCGCTGAACCATTCTAATCTATTTAATATCGGAGAAATCTGATGCCACCGAGAGTTGATTAAGGCCTGGATCAGTTAATTAATGTCTAATTAATACTTTAGAAAACATTTCAGGCCTAAAGAAAGACCTGCAATAGGCAGATTTAACTCTTGCATAATGCATGTTTAAGGATTTTAACATACTGGTAGCTAATAATTTCTATTGTATTTTTTTATCGGTAGATATAGCATTTGCGAAACAGTTATCTGTCAAATATTTGTGTATTTGAATTTGTTGTACAATATTGAATAGGGTTTAACGTCTCGTCAACACGATACTTTGGTCATTTTGAGACTAACATATTGTATTTTTTTTTATTCTATGGTTACGTGTGCAAAACGTGTGAGGAGAATTTCGCCCGGACAGTAGTGTTTTCGACTATTCTGCCAATATTTTTTTACTTGAATGCATCAAACATTGCATTTCTTTAAATCGCTATAAAATTGATCACTGTATACCCAATTGAATACCGTAATCATACATTAAATCAAATTTCATATTTCGATTCAGTATATACTATGAAAATCTTTGAAGCATGTTAGCTATGCTTGATATCCTACATTTAGTAAATTGAATACCGAACGTTATTATATTGGGTTATATGAATGTGGCGAAACAGTTCATTTACACCGCACGTATTCAAGGGCGTATGTTAAAAGTTCGTATTTTATTATATTTGTGTATAAAATGTTATTATATCAGTGTCTTCTTGAGGTTAACATTAAGTTTACTTTTCAGGAATATCCCAGTGCAATTTTCTAAAGTGCTATTTCCATCAACATTGTTTTGTACTTGAAATTTCATCATATATACATATGTGATTACTTAGGTACGTGTCATTTACTTATATTTTCATGTATTTATATAACGCTAATCCGATTAAAATCTCGATCTGTATTTCATTTCAATCTGATTAAAACACAGATCATATTGCTTTTCGTGTTTTAGAGTTCAAAATTTCGTTTTACTTGTTTTTACTACACTAGGATCTAGAAGAGTTGTTAAATAACCCGCGTTCTGGTTGATGTGAGGAATTAACCAATGAAACGGTCTGTTGCGGCGAGTTCTTGACGTCCCCGTGCGGAAGTGTGGCTATCCCACTAGAAACACCAATGCTGATTGGTTAATCAAAATGTCTGATGTCATAGAGTCAGAAGCCGCTCGTATGACCCCTGACACGACCTCCAACGACAACCGGTCAGATCTTCATGTATAGTGGAGGCCATCGAAAATATACCCCCCCCCCAAAAAAAAAAAAACGATCAGTATTTTAATCAGATTGTGTTTCATTTCATCTTTTATACTTTCGAACTATAACAAAACAACCCCCCCCCCCCAAAAAAAAAACCCCCAAAAAACCTAAATATGATCAGAATCTATGTTTTAATCCGATTGATATGATGTATACTCCTATTCTTCCTAGAAGTAGTTGGATACAAATTTTACATTCTCATTACGACTGGCAAACCGATTTTACTCACTGTTTGGTTAAGAAGACTCCTTCCAAAATGATCTTAATCAGTTAATTTTGGGGGCAACATATAGGCCTTGTTATTTTTTGCTACATTGTACATAGTAAATAGCTGACATATTTTTGATCATGATTTATATTGTGTATAGTTTATAAATAATGAAAGTAAAAATATAATAATTTATGAGTTTTATGTCAAGGATCACTGATTTCTTAGTTCAGCCCATTTTGAAATTTTTTCTTTGAATATATATACGATTGACCTCATGTAGATCACGGTCCAGTGATTGAACCCTGATGATAGAAATTACTCATGTCAAGCAGCCTTTTAAGTTTTTATTTATGATCAAAATTTATAAATGACCAATGGGAGAGTCGAGCGAATACAATTTAGAGTTTGTGTTGAGGCGCCAAGTTAATCAATACGCTAATGGTATACACCCAGATATAAAATGTTTTAATTGTTTTTTTATGATTCTGATCATATGTAACATGGAGGAATTTATATATTAAGTATATTCAATCCAGATTCCTCATTTTATTAGTAATAATAAAAAGGATTTGCTTGACCTAATTTAAACTGTATATTTTATGGAGGAGTTTTGCTGAGAAAACTATTTTTATACTACGTTTCGTCGAACAGATAATCACTGAACCCATTGTGGTACATTGACCCACTAAAGCCACGATGTTACTACATGAGCTTCGACGGAATCGAAAAGTGGTGTATTTTCATGCTAAGCGGTTCCGGGGAGAATATTTGAGACGAAACGTTCTCACCGCTCCCTACCACACGCCTGGGGTTTGATAGGTTCGAGGTTCTCATTCAAAACACGACCAGATTTCATTGATGTGGAATTTTTGTCACACTGTCATTCACTTCGCGTTAGCCTACTGGGTTCATTTCCGAAATGAAACGAAATGGGGTTTAACGTCCCACTTTTCTGTACCGACTTCGAATTCCAACTGTCAAGGGTTCTTTTATGTACATGCCAATGTGTCCTTGTCAAATCCCCCGTCCTGCACCGTTCACAAAGAGAAACCACATCGCAAAATCCCGATGAACTTTTTGGGCAAGCAGATGGTTTTCCAAGCATGGGCTTTAATATTTTAACCAAAGAATGTCTTTACTGTCTTCATTGAAAAGTTCATATTTACAAACATCTTTCAATGGTTGTCATTCCTTGCTTGATAAAGAGGAGACAGCCCTCGTCGAAATGTTGCCAGAAATAAACATCTAAGTAACCCATATTCCATATAATTGTGACATGTATTATTCACCCAATAGCCCCTGCCAAAGCGATACATAACAACATAATTTGTAGCTCTTTGTCGTGAACTTTTAAACAATATTAGGTCACCGATAGCCTTAAGAAATAAACCCCTACTATATCATTCTGATAATGTCATATTGACTATTTGCAATATTTTTGTAACAGATTAAAGTTCTATTCTTGATATAATGAAAACATAACTATGGTGGCTGAAAGCGTCCATTTAGATCGGCGGGTTTCTAGATACAACCCGAGAGTCGCCGTTAAGCCAGCACGACGTAAAAGGCGCCGATCGGCGACTTTTTCGTCGTACTAGCTTAACGGCGACCCGCGACTTTCACAACACGAGAGTCACCGTTAAGCCACGTGACGAAAAAGTCGCCGAAAAAATCGGCGCCTGTTTCGGCGACTTTTTCGTCGCTCTGGCTTAACGGCGACTCTCGCCTCGGAAGTTTATAGTTAGTTACATACGCAATAGCTACATTTTACTTCTTGTATATAAAATCAGAATGGAGGAGATTTTGGATGAGTTTGGGCTGTCGAGCTATATCAACATTTTCAGTGACACTAGGGCAAATTAAAATTTATGAGTGTTACAGACACGTGTACTTTCAAAACCTGTTTAGTTACACTGGAATTAGATTTAAAATGTACACGTTTTTTTTTATCACTAAATATTTCCCCATAGATTTAATGTTAATTCTCGTATCTTAGACCGGCTCTAACTTTTTCCCAAATTTTCGTTGGGTAGAACGCTTTCTGCCACAGATGGAGCAACATGTGGCAAACTCTTGCACAAAAGCAAGTATGAGGTTTACCATGAAAAACTTGAAATACCAAAGCTGGAAGTAGGGACAAGTAAACATGCAATTTTCGGCCCTACATTTCAACCTAACCGACCTCTCAAAATCATGAATATTCACCAAAACCTGGCAGAAAATGTATTTTCAAACCCCTTTCTTCGATTCTACACCAAAAATCGCCATGCAAAAGGGGGAAAAGGGAAAGGGAGAGAAAGACTAAAAATAACTTTTGCGTAAAATGTAGCCATTGCGCATGTAACTAACTATAAACATCCGAGGCGAGAGTCGCCGTTAAGCAAGTCGCCGAAAAAGGCGCCGATTTTTTCGGCGACTTTTTCGGCGCGTGGCTTAATGGCGACTCTCGTGTTGTGAAAGTCGCGGGTCGCCGATAAGGTAGAACGACGACAAATTCGCCGATCGGCGCCTTTTTCGTCGTGCTGGCTTAACGGCGACTCTCGCGTTGTATCTAGAAACACGCCGATCTAAATGGACGCTTTCAGCCACCATAGATAACAGTTGTTTATATACTGAAGGATATAAACATGCTTTAAAATATTGCAAAAACATGGAGCGCAAAAGACCTTGTTTAAGCCAAGTCAAATCTAAAGCTGTTTATATTAAATATTGTAAAATATAAGTTTATGCCTATTCTTACATGGCGGAATTTAAAATAAAAAAGGTCTTACAAATATAAAATGGGTGCTTGCTCATAAAATCTGAGTAAATACTTGTCAATATAAGATATAAAGATAGGTTTATTTATTGTAATTATGAAAAGTAAAACTATATAGAGTAAAACCAGGTAAATTTGTAATCGTGAGATCTCAAAAGTACCTTTCACCCGTGGTTCTGGTCGTGTGACAATCTTATATTTTGACGTGTGAAATTGTTGACAGCAGCCACACCTTACGATTTCTATTGTTATATTATAACATTCTTCTGCAGGTATGTGATTTATGTATAGAAAAAAAATATAATGTGAACTGATGTTTAAGTTTGTTCTTGTGGGGGAGGGGGGGGATCAGGTGGCTAAGTGGGTAAGATGCTGGCTCGCTAGCCTGGAGATCGGGTGTTCGATCCCTGCATTGGCCGAGAAAGTTCATCCAGTTTTCCGGCGTGGTTCCCCCTTGTCAGTGATGCAGGACGGAGGGCCTGACAAGGACAGCTGTCTAGTCCTTAGGGTGAGACGAAAAACCGAGGTCCCGTGTATACATTGGAATGCACGTAAAAGATCCCTTGGCAGTTGGAATTCGATATAAGAGTAGGCGATAGTGCCGCTGCCCGGGCAAAATTTCCCTCATAGCACAATGTATGGCGTATGCCCGTCTTCATTAGCCCAGCATAGGAGCTGAACAGTAGGACGTTAAACCCCATTTCATTTCATTTCATTTGATCTAGTGGGTTACGTTGTATGGACAATCGCCCGTCATTCAAAAAATAGTGTGCGATTTTTTAGCAATAATAATCAAAAGTTTTGGTGCCTTACTCGAGACATCTAAGCGGTGTACAAAATGTTGAAAATAGAAATTATATATATATTCCAATCAGAAAGTATTAGAAAATATAATTAAGGAATACGGAATGGTCTATCTTTGATTTATGTTAGGTTTGTGAATTCTTGGTCCTTTGATATGGAAGGATAAAGTTGACAGTATTATTTCAATGTTCGCGTGTTCGATCCCTGCATTGGCCGAGAAAGTTCATCGGGATTTTCCGACGTGGTTTCCTCTTGTCAGTGGTGCAGGAAAGAGGGCCTGACATGGACAACTGTCGAGTCGTTCGATGTGACGAAAAACAGAGGTCCCGTGAATACATTGGCTTGCACGTAAAAGATCCCTTTGCAGTTGGAATTCGATATAAGAGTAGGTCATAGTGCCGCTGCCCGGGCAAAATTTCTCTCATAGAACACTATATGGCGTATGCCCGTCTTCATTTCCCAGGCGGAGCAGAACAGTAGGACGTTAAAGACCATTTCATTTTTTTCAAAGTATGTAAATATAAATGTGCCAGAAAATTATTTAAATATTTGAAAAGAGAAATGAACGTCCTTTTTAGTGATACGTAACATGATATCTGGAATTCGTATTAAGACAGGTCTGTTTACTTTAAATGCCCCCACCCCCGTCATGTAATAGAATTTCGTACCACCCGACTTTGATCGTTTTTCTTTGTCCATGTCAGAGATGCAGGACAGAGGGCCTGACAAAGGACAACTGCTTAATCGTTCCGATGGGACGAAAAAACGAGGCCCGTGTACATATTAGCGTGCACGTAAAAGATC